AGCTACTTAGTTTCATTTCAGGATTCCTGATTAAAGGCTACATACGCCATTTTTATGGTATTGGTACTGAATCTCCATATAATGTGATATTTGTAGTTAAGAAAAACGTATCAGCAGATAGGAAGGAGATCTGAATATTGCTCAGGTAATTTCTCTTTGTTGTGAGTGGCCCAGAATTGGAAATAGCCTACATTTTTGTCCTTTTCCAAATAAACCTATTTTTCAGGATTTAAAATTTCTTTTTGTAAAAAATATGTGGTAGTAGTCACAAATTTTTACGAAAAATGAAATTGAATCTAGATAACTTTACTTTGGAGATAACTTTATTTCTTTTTCCTTGGAAAGAAAATAAATTATTAAAATAGGAGCCCTAATTATGCTCCTATGTTGTTGTTTAAGTTTTAATGTGTTTTCTAACTCATAAAAAAATGGATGGTGTATTTAATGTGGAAAGTATTTTTTTCGAACGCTTGAGCTGGTGCGGTTGAAAGAAGATAATTACTTTGCATGAATTTCGTACGAAATATCCAAGTATTGTGGTAAAAAATTTTACTGCTTTTTTTCACTGAGATTCTAATATTTCTAAAGTTCTCGTGGAGTTGCACCCGGTCTTAAGACCTGTTTACACGGTTCAAGTTCTTGAATCCGAGAACTTCGAGGAATTTCTCGCTCCCAAAAAATTGGATGATTATTCGACATTGTCAGAGTTCTTGAATGCCACTGATTGGTTGGATGAAAAACCTGCGCATGCGCATTGTTCATATTCAACGTTATAAAATCATACTTACTTTAATTCAAAATATCTAAATAAATTAAAACAGAATCATAATAACACAAATAGACGATAGCAGATTCATTAATTTTTTTATTAAAATATATGTTGTTGTTGTAGTTCATTTATGTCGCACTAGAGCTGCACAATGGGCTATTGACGACGGTCTGGGAAACATCCCTGAAGATGATCCGAAGACATGTCATCACAATTTTGATCCTCTGCAGAGGGGATGGCACCCCCGCTTCGGTAGCCCGACGATCTATGCTTGAAGACGAGCACTTTACGGTAGAACAATTTAACGAGGACCCATACCGCGCCCCCTCGGTCCCTACGCAGACTGATGCAAGTGGTCACCCACCCGCACACTAACCGCAGCCAGTGATGCTTGTCTTAACGATCAGTCCACTGCGGGATTAAAATATATGAAAACGGATAGCAAAATGACATAATCTGATGCCTGCTTGTTGACGTCATAAAACCTAAGCAGCTGATTGGTTAAGAAAGGAAAAACTTGGACGGAAAGTATGACATGCAATATTGTCACATAAGTACTTGGACCAAGAACTTGGATGTTCGTTTACAACACGATCCAAGCAAAACAAGTTTCCATCAATCTTCAGTTAAAGAACTTAGTTCGTATAAATAGCTCTCTCTCAAATGGGTAAGATTAGATGCATATGTAAACTCTAGGAGAACTAGAGGGTTAACTTCGGATGATTTGACTTTCTCTAGAAAGAAAAAAAACACTCATAAAACAAGAAATGCGTCCATGTCTTTATCAAAAATAAGATATTGTAAACTAAACAGAATATCTTCATTAGAGTTTTACTCGATCTTCGAATATTAGTCACCTGATCACACTAATGCACACTTTTATAAACAATTCTTTAATATATGATGCCCTGGGATCTTGACGCTCTGGAATCTTTGTAATTAATGGCACTAGTTAATGGCACCTTATCACCTTCATACCGCCTGGAAATTCATCCAGTAATGATTTACTTGGTTACTGTGTTGTTTACTTTTATGTAATTCAACTTTATTTTCCATTGTTTTCGTTGGAAACTTACTATTTTTTCCTAATTTTTTTCAATTCTGTTTTGCTTACTCATTTACGTTTGGTGGACTTTGAGAATCTTCTTCAGGAGCGCAACAGCCCTTTGCAGGCCTTGGCTGCCTCAACAGCACGCCTTCTCCAGCTCCCTCTGTCCATGGCAACTCCCCTCCAGTTCTTAAGTTTTAGGACTTTGAGGTCGTTTTCGGTGTCGTTGAGCCATCGAGTAGGTGGTCTACCTCTAGAGCGGGACCCCTGAGGGTTCTTGAAGGTGGCAATTTTTACAGGGCTATCTTCAGAGCCTCTCCATATATGTCCGAGCCATCTTAGTCGGTTGCTTCGGATTATCTGCATAATTTGAGGATGTTTATAGAGCCCATAAAGTTCAAAGTTGTACCGTGTTCGCCAACATCCCCCCTCTGGTATGGCACCAAAGATAGTTCTAAGTATCTTTCTTTCAAACGTTTCTATCGGGCGTTGTACGTCAAGGTTTAAAGTCCAGGTTTCGTTTCCGTATAGCAAGACAGGCAGAATGAGTGTCTTATATAATTTTAGTTTTGTTTTTTGGCTAATAAAATTCGATCTTAGTTGACTTTTTAGTCCAAAAAAACATCTGTTGGCCATATTGATTCTATTGTCAATTTCAGGTTTCAGTTTGTTTTGGTCATTGATAATTGTACCAAGATACTTAAATTCTTTAACCTTTTCAAAGGAATGTCCGTTTATCTGCAAAGGTTCACTATAGTTTACAGTTGAGCTTGAAAACTCCATGAATTTGGTCTTGTCTTCGTTAATGGAAAGGCCCATATTTATAGCAGAGGCCTCAAGGGCTTGAAAGGCATCTTTAACAGCCCGTTCTGATCTTCCAATGATATCAATGTCGTCCGCATAAGCGAGGATTTGGAGAGATCTGTTCCAAATAGATCCTCCTCGGTTTAATCCGCTATCCCGAATGCATTTCTCCAATGCCAGGTTAAAAAGCAGACAAGCAAGAGAGTCTCCCTGGCGCAGGCCTCTTTCGGTAATGAAAGGTTCAGATAGATGGCTTTGGATTTTAATCCTGCATCTCACATTGTTGATAGTGGCACGGGTGAGACTTACGAGTTTTGTAGGGATTCCGAACTCGTTCATCGCTTCAAGTAATTTATCTCTTTTAATGCTGTCGTAGGCAGCTTTGAAGTCTATAAATAGGTGAAAAGTCCTGATGTTGAACTCTTTAGTTTTTTCAAGGATCTGTCTTAGAGTATGAATTTGGTCAATGGTAGACCTTTGAGGCCTGAATCCACATTGGTAATTTCCGACCGCTTTATCAGCAAAAGGCTGGAGCCTTTTGAAAAGAATATTGGAGAAGATTTTATATGCCGTATTGAGGAGTGTTATACCTCTGTAGTTACGACATTCAAGTTGGTCTCCTTTTTTAAAAATAGGGCAGATGGAACCTTCTTCCCATTCAATGGGTATATTCTCAGTGTCCCAGATTTCAATTAGGAGTTTATGGATAGCATCAATAAACTGGGGTTCGCCGGTTTTAAGAAGCTCAGATGGGATACAATCGGGACCAGCCGATCTGTTGTTTCTGAGTTTTTTAATAGCCATTATCACTTCATCGATTGAAGGTGGGGGGTTATCTACATCCCTCAGTATGGCTAGATCTACTGGGTTGTTGCGAGGGACAGAAATATCATCCTTGCCAACTAGCAAGTCTTGGAAGTAGGACTTTGAGAATAGATGCCTTATTTTTAGTACTCAAAAACAGGTTCTCTAGCGTTTTTAAAAGGTGCATATTTTTGATTTTTAAGTGATCTTAAAGGTGCTTTTTTTTATTGTTCAATTTTTTTACATAATTTGCATTTAATAACAAAAATATGTCGACACCATTATTTAGCTAAAATTACAAATTTTGAAATTTTTATGATATTTTTTAAAGGCAAGCTAAACTTAAGTGTTCCTTCACTGGTTAGTTTTACCCTGTAAGATGTTGAGAAGTTTGCGATGTTGTGAGAGATGCATTAAAATGTTAACTACTTATTTTTATTAATATTTATAAAATATATATTCAAGAAATTGATGAATATTTTACTCCAAATCTATTCATACGTGCGTATATTATTGAGATTGTATCAGTTATTGAAGGAAAAAAAAAATAATCCCAATATGTTGTATAATCATATTCTATCAGAAGCATGCTTTTATAAAACTCCACATAAGTTGAATAAAATGTTTTTTATTCAAATTTCTTTACTAAATTGCAAATAGATTTTTAGACGACTAAAAAAGAAACGTATTTTATAGTTTAAAAAAAAACATTAGCAAGCGATTATTAGCGAAAAAAATATGAACGAAACGCGCTAAGTCAAGTTCCACGTAAGCTTATCACATTTTAATATTAATCGCCCCATTTAATTATTTCGTCATTTTCACCAAATTATTTTTTTTAAAATAATTAATTTCAACTTTTCTCATCTAATAAATAAAAACAGTTGAAACTTTACATTTTTCAATTAATATGGTATAAAAATAGCCATATATGGTGTTGAATTATAAGGTATACCTTATAATTCAACATTTTTCATCCTCAATTTAATTAAATAATAAAAATTAATAAATAATTATTAAAAATTATTTTTTTTCTGAAATTATCTTTGGGTAAATGAGTGGGTGTAATTTTTTTTGAATTATTTCATTAGTTTTTAAAATATGACTGAAAACGCAAAAATCGAAAGTAACATTAAGGGGTGCAAACTTTGAATCGCACTCCTGACCAAAGATTGGGGACCACATTTCCCAGATTACGGCTACCCCCTATATTTTGAAGATAAGAAATCCAAATATGTAAAAAAAAATATTTGTTTATTCAGAAAAAGTACGTTTTTGTGTTTGATTTCGTAACTTAATTAATAGTTAGCATTAATTAATTAGCATAATTGAGGTCACCCCCAGGAGCCATTAAGATTGACACCTAGTTTGTGATAATCTGATCATTAGAGCGAAAGTTATTCAGGGTGATATCTTTTTTTTTTTTGCGGACTGTTCATTTCTATATAACTGAAGAGGAGAGGGAAAGGCCAAAAGCATGGAATCAGTCTTCTCCCAGGATAGCGCATTCAAGCGCTGCGATCGCCTTTCATAATTTTAAATTTATTTTTCTTGGCTGCTAAGCAATATCCGAAGGTACTTACGTGGGGCTACAATTTTTATTTGTAAGTTGCAAGCTAGCTTCCTTAATCGTATTATTAAGGTACATTGCTGCGGTGTTTAAATATTTTGCACGCGAGTTCTTTAATTGACGAAATTAATTAAATATTAATTTAGTATTGTTTTATAAATTATCATGGATGATAATGACGATCTGTTCAGTGTATTTGACGATGAGAGTGACAAAAATACCAAAAAGAGTGATTTAGTTACAGTCAAAACAGAAAAAGAACCACAAATGTACGTATTTATCATTTTCTACTAGACAGAAAATTTGAGGATTAACGCCGAAAGTTATTGTTCATGTACCGTAACTCTGTTTTGAGAATAATATATTCTCGATTTAATGAATTTGGGAATTGTCCAGGGAAAAGTCTGTTAACATTTTTGATTCAACATCTCGAAAAGTCAGGGAGTTAGATTTTTCAAGTGCCAAACATGCGATCTTCACCCTAACATTTCACGTTTAACACATGTTTATGCACGAGTTTCGTTTTCACGCACTTGGCATGTAGTAAAATTTCACAGAGCCTTAGCATTTTGTGAGTTCGAAAACTTTCAACTGGAAAAAGGTTTTTAGTTGCTGGAATCCATAACAAATGGATGGATTTCAGATTGTTTGTTATGAAAATCGTCTATACTTAGATAAATTAAAGGCATTTCTTAAAATCCTACAATAGACTTTTTGAAATCTCACCAAGTTGATGATTATTGCTTGGATCAAAGTTGTTCTATTTTCTATTATTATTTAACAAACAAAACAATTTAAGTTATAAAACATTTATTAAAATACTTTTGATTAGATAAAATAAAAAAAATAAGGTTGCAACATATTTCCCCAAAATATCATCCAAAAATCTAGTTTTGCTAGATTTAAAAAAATTGCAAAGTTTTTGGGCTATTCTAGGATCTGGTATATTTCCATATCTTGATCTGTCGTGCCAACTACACTTGCCAAGGTGCCAAATAGCAATTTTTTTAGACAGAAAACTGTAGATGCTCGCCTGGGGGTGGGTTCGAGTTGGTCCCTTTCAGTGATGTTTTTTTTAGTTTCTCGCGGGCCACTGCTCGGAAGTTTCCAAGACCTGGTCGTAATTCTGCCACAGACCAGAATATGGAAAAATCTCCCTAGGATTCATCTGGGCATATTTTTTTTCTTTTTAATTTCTAGTATTAATATATAAAAGTGAAAAACAATCATCATTTCACTTTTTCTTACAATCTAAACCCGAAATGTTCATGTTGCTAATGTTTAACAATGGTCACTAACTAAGTTGTGCCTCAAAGAAAAATGTCTCTGCTATTTTGGAAATTCTGTTGCATACTTCAAACAAATGCTCCTTTACTCCTGTTGATCACTATCTATCATGCCACCTATTTACCATCTTATGGCAAGCTATTGAGATCAACATTAAGTGATTCCAGTGAGTCCATTTCCCCAACTTTTGGAACTAAGTTTTTGCCAGGACAGTGGAAAAAACTGTTAAAAACAGGCAAAAACCAAATTATCTAAATTGCAGATTAAATATTATTACAAAATACTTGAAACACATTTAAATCAATCATAAGGAATAATAATTTTGATGCATTATGTGAAAAAATTATTTTTAAAATATTAATAATTAATATAAGGGTAATAATTTTTAAAAGATTAAAAGTTTTTGACCTCTTTTCATTTTAGAATCCTTAAATAAATGTTTTTTTTTCAAAATGATGAATAAAGTATTGAATTTGCGCAAATTTAAAAAATTGCATTGATACTTGTATATTTTAATTAACTACACATGTTGATAGATATTTTATGAATGCTTTAAATTATAGTTATATTAATTTAAAATAAGACATTTCACTGGAAAAAAGAGAATAATCACTAATTTTTCGATCAATAATGTTTTAAACTACTAAAATGATATAATACTTTATAATTTAATTATGGAATAATAATTTTGTTAATTTTTTGAATTATATATATTTATAGTATATATTTCAATTTTAGGAATAATTTTGTATCAAAAATGTGCTTTTGTCCTCTCATCTTGGAAAATATAGGTTTTTACCATGGTTTTTTCCAGCTGCAGCAAAATCTAAACCAACGCTGGAACTAAGTTACTTTTGGTGCATTTTAACTTCTTTTTCCAAAAATGCAAACTTCACTGAAAGTTACTTGCACGCTATTTAACAATTTGCTGCTAAAAAAGCTCTTTTAAAAGTGAAAGAAAAATTAACTATGTTCACAGTAGATGGCTTGCGTATGAATGAAATTATTAAATAATTTATTATATATATATACAGGGGTCTGTCTAGCTTTTTTCGAGAGGAACCAACTTTGTGAAAATTTAGACATAATTTGTGAAAATTAAAAATTATATTAAAAAATCAACACAAAAATATGGAAAAAATAAGTTTCTTACTTGATACAACTATAAAATTTGAAGATAAAGTATTTTTTTCCTTAAGTTAATTTGTGAAGGTAACGCTAAACAGTAGTAAATTTGGCCTGGATATACCCCTGATGTATATACAGTACAGAACCCGTTATCCGGTGAACTTTGAATGAACTATGAACTCCGGTGAATAATCAGTAAACCGGAAAACCAAAAAACGGAACGAAATTCAATAAATTTTCCCGCCATTTTTTAAAAATAAAATTTTTTTTTCCTCATAAGATTTTAGGATTTTTCTTTCTTTTTTGAGAGATGTTTACCTTACCATCATTTTGGAAATAATCATTAGTGTATTACTTTGTTTCTTCGAGATTATTTCCAAATATTTCTTTTTTTAGTTGGGTTTAACAATAAAAAAAACGGCTTTTTGTAGCGATTCAGAAAACCGAAAAATCAGTTATCCGGAATAGCGATGGTCCCGATCGTTTCGGATAATCGGTTCCCTACTGTATATATATATATTTGTTAAATAATTTCATAATTTTATCGTAAATGGTAGTTTAACAGTGTTGACGTTTTGTAAGTCCAAAACTTGTTTTGGATAGGACAAATGGGTTTCATTGTCATAAATTGTCCTGAATTGAACTAACTAAAACTGTACTAAATTGTCTTAAACATTGGTAATAGGGAAAAATTCTACATTGTACTCATAATAATTACACAGATTAATAAATATTTGATACTTGTTATACAATTTGCTTGAGAAAATAATTTAAAGGCTTATAACCTTTGAAGCACAAACAGAACAACAAAAGTGAATACCTAATCCTTTAAATATGAAAAAATATGCTTTTAATACTGATAAATTATTTTTTTGCATAAAGATAAATAAATAATAATAAACTTTTTTAATAGAACAAAAACTTTCCTTCATTTCTTGTTCAAGAATTAACCTTTTATTTCAGGGTTGGGGTTTTGGACAAGACATGTAGGTTTTACTGTCCTAAACTGTCTTAAAGTGTCCAAAACCTTGAACTTTGGTAAAAGGTAAAAATTCTATATGTGTGACCAATTTACACATTATAATTACCTGTATCAATAAATATTTGATATTTTTTATACAATTTACTTTAACTTATTAAAGGAAAATAATATAATATATAATATAATAAAGGTTCAGAATTTTTGAAGCTTCACAATGCATTGAACAACAAAAGTAAATACCTTATCCTTTAAATATAAATATGCTTTTAATACTGATAAATTATGTTTTTGCATTAGGATAAATAATGCAATATTAAAAATAATAAATTTTTAAAAAAAATACATTTGTTTAAAAATTAACCTTTTATTTTTCACAATATTTTAAAGATTTTTTTTTTATAATTTCTGCAACACAGGATAATAAAAAAGACATCTATTTAAAAAAAAAAAAGAATTGTTTTTAAATATAAACATATTAGTTTAAATTGGAAATACGAAATAACTGAAAAATGTATTAATAGTTTTGAAGGACATCAGTTTCGGTTACGGACACTGGTTATGTATCACCACTATGTTAAAAGAATTGCAAGTATTAAAATTTACTCAAGCAATGCAAGTATTTCATTACTTGGCCTATTTATTAAACCCTAAGTATAAAGTTGAAGGCTTGTCTAATGTGCAAAAAGAAAGTGCTTGATCATATTTAATTGACAAATTTCCTGAGTGCATTTCTCTTTTGATTGCCTTGGAAGCTGAAGCGAAACCATTTCCGAAAACTTACTTCACAGAAGCTGGGACAACCATTAAACCAGTGACATGATGGACGACTATTGAAAAATCAATATCATTTGGGGAATATTCCAAAGACATTGTTAAATTCATCACTCTTCTACTCTCATGCCCAGCAAGCTCAGCATCAATTGAAAGGATGTTTTCAAATTTTGGAGTAATTCACTCAAAACTTAGATACTGTTTTGGTGTGAGCAGCTAAATTAGTTATGTGCCATCGAATGTTAAGAGGACCAATTGAACTTGATTACTGATTAATCTTCCTTTGTTTAATGTTTAAATTGAAGAGTCAAACAATATTAATAAAGCATTATACTTATAAAAACAAATATTCTCTAGTAGATTTAATAATCAAATGTTATTAGTTCTTTGTTTATTTTACCTTTTAAATATTGTTCAGACAAAATAGTGACATAATTAGAGTAGAAGGGTTTTGGACAGGATGGTTTAAACTGTGGATTAATCCATCCTGTCCTAAACCTTGCCAACCGTGTTATTTTTCACAATATTTTTTTTAAAAATTGTGACATAATTTTAATTAAAGGGTTTTGGACAGAACGGTTTAAACCGTGGATTAAATCATTCTCTCCTAAACCTTGCCAACTCTGGGGGGTAATTATATTGAAATAAAATGGCCCTTAGTGTTAGGGGAAAAAAGCTCCAAGAAGATCAATATATATATATATTAAAAGTTTATTATAAAATAAATGTTTGTCATAAATTATGTTCTGTTAATACTATTTATTTGTTTGTAGTGTTTGTGACTTTTTGAAAGAAATAGCTGAAGGCAAAAGGATACACGAAGAAGAATCCAATGTTGAGACAAAAAAACTGAAGACAAATAATATTCTAGACACTATTAAGTATGAAGTATGCTTTAACTTATTACCATTTCATGTATGCTTAACTATCTTGAATTCTGTACTTCTCCCAATTTTAAATTTATTAAATTGATTAAAATAACAATGTGCATAGCTCTTTTAAAAAGTGCTTATTTTCGATTTTTGTTTTTTAAAAGCCCTTAAAGGCGTTTTTTTCATGAGGTGTTTTTAAAAAGTGCTTAATTTTCCCTTTGTAGCATTAGATTTATTTCTTTACGATGTCTATTTTCATTTTTACCATGTTTTATGCAAAAGAGTGGTTCTCAATTCATTCAACCACAATCCATTTTGGCGCGCTTGTCGGTATGTAACGTATGATCCAGCCAATCTTGTTACATGTCTGATGAAATGCTTATGTGTGTCCATCTACCGAGCTGAGTTAGGTGAGACTGTTGCACTATAATGTGCAACTCTGCTGCATTTTGCAAGATATTCTCAATTTCATGCTTCATTTTCCACCCTCTGAAATTGAACCGAATAATCTCTCAATCTTTTTATGGTGGCTAATATAATCAAGAAAAAGAGTTCTTTGTCAGAAACTAGGTATTTTATCATGATCATGTAAAGTTTTTAAAAATCATTTTTCATTTTGTTAATCTATATAGTGGTTAAAAATATTTTTTTAGTGCTTTAAAAGTGCTTATTTTTCGTTGAAAAATTTGGCCATGCACCCTCTTTTCGAAATTCCATGTGTGTAATTATTATTTTGATCTGAATTTACATTTATCTCTAACAGCTTAAAATTTTACTTTTCAGCCTAGATGAATTTTCTAGAATTCAAATTCATGTTGTGGAAACTGTTGAAGCATGTCTACATGAGGTAATATCATAGTTTCATTGCTATTTTAATTTTTTTTAAAAACTTAGTAGTTAAGGCTAGTCAGGTGAAAAAATTGTCCTCTTACAAAATATAAACTATTCTCTCATTCTAAGATAATTGTTACTATTTTTATGCTACCTGAAGCATTTCCTGGCAATACCTTTTGTTGAAGTCCCAATTATTTCTTTTTAATTCTCTAATTGATGGACTTTTAATTCAACAATACTCTCACTTTATTCCGAATTATGGTTCTTTATGCCATAGACAGATGGCAGCTCAATTAACAGAATTTGTTATGCAGATTTATTCTAAAGTAAACTATTTAAAAGATGCAATTAAGAATAATGGAAAAAGTAATTAAGAGTAAAAGAAGATAGTAAGAATATGTATAGATAGAAGATAGTAGAAGAAGTAATTAAGAGTAAGTAAGAGTAAAAATGTTGCAAAAATTTGTATGAAAAAAATTAGTTATTTTTTTACTCATTAAAAAAAATTATTATTTTTTTTCATTTTTACATTAAAATATACAATATAAAGGCTGTGAAAGTAGCTCCATGAATTATACTTTTATGTATAAAATGATTTTAAAAATCATGAGAAATTTTTTCTCTTATGAATCTATGAATTAATACAATATTATGCCAACATATTTAATTAATTGTCAATAAAAATAGTCACCTTAATACTGTAACATATGAAATGATAAGTAAAGTAGTTACTTAACTCATAATGTTACAAATATAAAGGAAAACATGAACTGTTCTGAAATTATTTTCTTAAAGACCAATATGAAAATATTAATTTTTGGTCAGGGAAAATTGGATTTCTTTTTATTAATTAGTTATGGTCTAAAAGCAAGTATAATTAAATATTCTTGTTATGCCACTATTTCAGTACTTAGGTACAAAATTCAGCATTTTATGTAAACATTAAAATTCATGCATTATTTTAAAAGTCTTACTTTAGAAGAAAAAAAAAATATTTGAAACAAATAAAATGTAGCTAAGAATAATTCTTGTATAAATTAATTATCAGAATTATTTATTAATGAGAAAAATGGTTATATCATATGAATTAATTATGAAAAATTTTTGAAAATGTTTAATTAAAAAAAAATTAAAACAATTAATAGTTAGAAGAATACTTTAAATATAATTAAATCGCTTATTTATATTAATTTAATGTTTTCATGTTCTGAATGTATCTGATCATGTTCTCATGTTTAATGTTCCGAAGTAACTATTTTAGGAGTCTTAGCCTGTTGGCAGCCAGTAGTTTGATATCCATTTATTAATTCAACTTAAAATAACTAAATATAGTTGGAGTTCTATGTAAAGAATAGCCATTTTGTGAATTTATCTATTTTGCGATTTTTCTTCTTCGAAGAACTAAGAACATTTTGGAAATTTCTTCATAAAATAACTTCCAAATGTCAAAGTGAGCTTTGTATTTAACAAACTTTTCTTCCAGATCCTATTTCCTAAAATAATCCGGAACCTTTCAAACTTGTTAACGTATTTTATGACTAAAATGACCTTGAATTGATTTTCGAAGCCGTTAAACTTTTAGAGAAACCAATAAAATCTCTTTCTCTTTTTGTTTGCATTTCAAATGAAAAACTTATGCAAAATGAACAGATTTTATCAGTTGTAATTAAACACAAGAACGCATGTGGTATTGTATGTTTAAAATTATTTATGATAAATGCAGCTATAATTTTATATGAAAATTTAGTTTTTTTTTTAGCTGAAAATGTATCTATCTTGTACTAGATAATGTTTTGCTCTATTCTTGCTTTCCATGCAGATTTCTTTCATGGTTAAAATTTATAAAATAAGATACTAGTTTTCAAGATAAAAGTGCATCAATTGCTATTTTAATTATGTCTATTGTTTATGAATTTAAAACCTGTTTTGTGTTTTTTAAGTCTTTCAAAAGGTAATTTTCTATTTAGTGAATTATTCATATGACAAAGATGATTGTACTCCGGAAAAAATCCGGATTTTTCGCTAACCGCGATCCAGAAATCCAAGGTCCAGAAGTTTCAAGAAATCGTAGATTACATTTATGTATATTGAATATTGACACGACCCACCCTATTTGTGTAGGGTTTACGTCAAACAGAAATTGTACAATAATTAGAAAAAAAAGTTACATAAACACCCAAAGGGGCAAACAGACAGTCAAAAGACATTTTTTAACCATAGTAGTAAAATCACATTTTTTAACCAAAGACCATAGTAGTAAAATCAAACACAATAAAAACACAATGTATTAAAATCGAACACAAAAAGAGTTAAAATTACTGAGATTACATCGTAATGGAAAAATGCAAGTAAAACCGTTACATTTATGTATAAAAATTCTTGTCAATTTTATTTAGAAATATTAGAGCTAGAATTTATACTTGTCCTCTCTTTCATCTGTAAATATTTTTTTTGGCGGAATATTAAATGTGATTAGTGATAAAAGTAAACCTATACATAATTATTCCTTTAAATTATGCTGCATATATGAATTTCATATTTTAAAAATATCAATGATTCAAATTTATAAAAGACATTAATTTTTGGAAATGCGTCATTAATGATTTTGCTCAAGAAATTTTCGGGATTTTTGAGTTGGGCTCACCATCACCCCTGACATAAAGAACTTATCAGGATGTAGCGACTACGTTAAATAGAGGTCTGACTGTATAATAAATAAAAATAACTAAGTCCTAATTAGTAGCAGGGTTGGCAAGTTTTTGACACATGACGGTTTTTACCGGTTTACTATGGTTTTTACCGTCATGTCAAAAACCCCGCTGTCAAAAATTTCAAAAACTGTCAAAAAAGCCGTAGTTTTGAGAAAACTGTATTTTAATTTTAGTTTAACTGCTTATGATTTAAAATTAATTCATTTTTGGGCAATAAAATTAGAAAAAAAGTTGCTAAAAGATATTTAAAAACAGTTTTTTGCATTTTCCCAACATGATTGTATCAAATCATACTATTTGAAGTAAAATATTAGGATACTAAACAAAATTTTCAACATTTCCAAGCATAATTTTGTTTGGCATATTACATTACTGACGAACGTCAAGTCATTCCTGACTTAGTTTGNACGGTGGTTTACAGACACAAAACTACTACTTATATTCATTTATAAAGGCAATTAAGTGAAAATAATATATTGTCCGCTATATGCTATAAATTAAAGAAAACAGTTGGTTTTTGACAGTTTTTACCGGTAAAAACTCGGTTTTTACCACTGTCATGTAAAAAACCAGTTTTTGACGGCAAATACCCAACCCTGATTAGTAGGAATAAAAAAGTCCTGGTTCAATATAATACATCAGATTTAAATAATTATAAAGAAAAAAACTTCCAATTTTTTTTCCAATTCTGATATTTTATTATACTGATCAGTATTTCTTTGTTTATTTTAGGTTGCTGTTCCTCCCGACTCAGATTACATGCCACTGCGACAAAGTCAGAATCCCCCGTCTCGCAACTATCCCTTTCTGCTAGATCCTTTTCAAAAAGAAGCCATCCTTTGTTTGGAGAATAATCAGTCTGTTCTTGTATCTGCTCATACATCTGCGGGCAAAACAGTTGTAGCTGAGTTAGTATCTTTTGTAAAAACAATTCTAATCCTTATTTTTTTTGTTGACAGCAATAGATTCAGTCCAGCTTGAAATTGCATACTATTAGTTTTTCGCTAATCTGATTTTATGTAAATTTCTCTTTGGGTATTTTAGAAGGCATACTATATACCGTTTTTTCTTCTTTGATTTAATCAGGGTTCCCAGGGGTCAGGGAAAACCTGGAATTGTCAAGGAATTTTATTTTAACTCAAAAAATCAGGGAACAGTCTGGGAAAATTGAAATTTTTTTTTTCCTTGCAAAAACCTGGAATATTCATATATTATTCTTGGAAAATAACCAGTCTGAAAATTGTCTGTAACAGTAATCAGGTATTGAGATTTGAGTTAAATAATTCTAACGTCTATTACAATTATTTGTTGTAAAAAAGTCGCATTTTAGTCAAACTGAAATGTTCCCTTCCTCATTTAATAATATTTTTTTACACAGGAAATCTAATACTCCACATTACGAATAAAAGAATCAAAGTTTTCTGATGAAAATAAGCTCTCAATTTTTATTGAAATTTACCTGGTATACCTGGAAAAGTCAGGATTTTTTTTTTCTCTAAAATTTAGTGGAAACCCTGTTTAATTTTAATCAAAGTATTTAATTAAAGGTTCTCAAGTTGCAAGAGTTTGATTTGTTGAACTGTATTAAAGAGATTGAAGTTACAGTTTGTCTATGGTAAAAACTCCCCTCGCTTCAAAGTCTAAGGCCATCTACTGCTATCGAAACATGAATGGCACATTTCAGGGAATGTAGCTCCTTTTCACTGTAAGATTAACACAATAGACCGAAAAAGAAATTCCCTTTCTCTTGCTTACCTGAGCCAGGACCTGTCCCATACAATGATCCCTTACCCCTACTTGAAGTAGTTGTAACTTGTTACCATAGTCACCGACACAGGTTCAGCCAAATGGCTAGGGGAGTTCTTACTTTAGACAAACTATATCTCATTTGCTCTACCTAATGATTTAGAATAGTTAAGAGTGTTAAATGTTAATTTTCTAATCGTGAGAATTGGAGAAGGAGTTGCTATAGATAGGAGGCAGCCAAGGCCTGCAAGGGGCTGTTGCTCTGACAAAGAGGAAGAAGAGATTTGGAGTTCTCTAATGAAGGGATCTACTAATGAATTAAAAAAGAAATTAAATATTGTGTGTTGGAGATGAGTTATTTCAAAAATTGGAATCAATTACTGTGTAGAGTTTATTTAAAATTATTTTAATTCAATTAGAAATTTAATATTTGTAATTTTTTGAATAATGAATTGAAGGATCTTTTGCAAATAATTCTTTTAAATGTTTAGTTGCCTTGTAAAGATATTGAAATATTTTAATTAAATATATTAATTTCTGATTATTAAATAATGATTTACTTCATTATTAATTTATAGGGTGTGGGTAGTAAAATAAAGTTTTATTACAGCATAATATGTGATTAATGTTGTTTTATTCTGGATATGGAACTTTGTACTGCATTATTGTTTTGAGCTAGAGTTGTGGAATTTGAATCGACCAACCATCACAGGGATTCAAACCTGATTCACCTCATTAAGCAAGTGCTCTATCCTCTGAGCTACCATGCTAACTTATTGTAGTTTGTGGGGCTTGCGCACCTCTTGCATGCCTGCCAAGTCCCCTGTTTTTTAACAAAGAGTCCTGTATTTTACAACTATCTCCTGTATACCTATATATTCTCAAATTTATCTGAATTTGTTGAAGAAATTAAAGAAATTTTTTTGGGAGCATTAAAATATTAGCTGTTTGCAAAAATACTTCTCTTATTCCTCAACAGATGGTGTAAACTTCTTTGGATTAAGTACTAATGTATGATGTTTCAAAACTTTACTCGTTGCATAAAAAATGTTGCTAATAAAATCCCATTATTTTATTTTTCCAATGTTGTCAGGTGTGTTAAAATATAAAAATGAAATTCTTCCATAAGTCCAAATATTTTAAAAGGTGTCATACTATGTATCGCTGAACCCCCCCTAATATTTGTTTAATATTCTCAGGTATGCCATAGCCACATCTCTAAAAAACAAACAAAGGGTGATTTATACGACTCCCATCAAAGCTCTAAGTAATCAGAAGTATAGAGAATTTTTTGAAGAGTTTAAAGACGTAGGATTACTGACTGGGGACGCTACCATCAACCCTTCGGCCAGTTGTTTAATTATGACCACAGAAGTACGTATATAGAATGGTTTCTTACTTACAGGTTATCTGCGCACCTGCAAAGTCATGAAAAATCATAGAAAGTCATGGATTTCGATACTGAACAAAATTTGTCATAAAATGTCATAATTTTAACTGTGTTTTTTAAAAAATCATGGATTTAGGTTGCTGAAAAATCGAATTTTTTAAATAAAATTTGCCTCCTTTTCCAATTTCACAGTGTTCCAATGTTCCGAATATCTGAATTAGTTACAAAATCCCTACTCATAGTCATATTTTATTGAAATATAAAATGTTTTTATCATGTTCTTTAAAAATTAGGGTGTTCTTTCAAAAAATGAAAAAAGAACATCATTTCTAGAGCGAATTATCTTTTAAACATCTGTGATTTCAGGATTTTTATTTATTTATTTTTTTATTATTTTATCAATTTAAAATTCTAGTTGTAAGCCATTTATTGGTGAATTTTCTTTTTCTGAAATGAGAACAGAAAAATTACTAGTATTCCTTTCCTTTTGGATGAGCAAGAAAAGTATCTTTAAAATTTAATTCTGCAGAAAAAAAAGTTTTTCTTTTGTTTCTTAGCTTTTGTATTTTTTTCCAGCTATTTTATTGCTTCAACTCTTTCTTTTACTCTGTTCTTTTAAATTTAAAATCTAAAAATATGAATGTGCAGAGTAAAACAGTTTTGGTTACACCTATCTTTTAAATGAATGTTAAATTGTAATGCTTTTTTTAATTTATTGCTGTGTTTTTGTCGGAGAAATTAGTAACTTCATTAAGTCATGAAAAATTCTTGGAATTAGTCATGAAAATTCGTGGATTAGAAAATCTAAAATTTAGCAGATACCATGTACTTATTTCCCTCTGTAGTAATGAGTGACTCCCTTCTGAGGAACTTCTTCTCTTTTTCTAGATTTTAAGAAGTATGCTGTATCGCGGCTCGGAAGTGATGCGAGAAGTAGGCTGGGTTATATTTGATGAAATTCATTATATGAGAGACAAAGGTAATATAATATCACAATACTAGATTTGAAATTGTATCATAGCATGGTATCACAACACACCTACTTAATTCTGGCTCTCCACATGCTTTAAGGCTTGCCAAATCACAGGGAAAAACTTTAAAATATAGGGAATTAAAAAAAAAATCACCTAAAACAAGTTATGGAAACTTTTTAAAAAAAAATAAATTTCTACTTAGGTTAAAAAAGAAAAATGTTATTTTAGTTACTTTTTATTAAATAATTACAATACAAAATTATTACAATACAATAGTGATGAATTATTTTCATTTTAAGCATATTCTTTGGCTGCTGGGCCAACTAATTTTCATTAACCCCTTCCTTCTCGCTCCCGTGAAAATGATGGGGTGAGTTTTCGCTCGCTATTTCTCGCTCCCGTGATATTGACGGGCTGGAGTGTTCAGTAGTAATGCTCCCATAAGAATAAAACTATTTCATTTCTTTTGCCCGGAAAACATTTTATTTCTCATTTTACAGACGATATAGCAGTACCCGGATATTGTTAAGGTAATTGTAAATAGTTAGTTTATTTTAAACTAGATACTAGCACTAATCAAATATGTGTATTTGGTAAAATAGATACTTTTATGACAGTTTTCTTGAAAGTTAACCGATCGTTAAGGGGTTAAAAAATTATTGCAGGTATTTAAGTTGCAATTTCAACTATTTATCCCGAAAGTATCATGAATTCTTTTTCTTATGTAATTTAAACAAATTATCTCAATAAAATATTTAAAATGATACAGTATGCATAGCGTTTTTAAAAAGGGCTTAAAGGTGCTTATTTTTGATTTAGATTTTTTAAAACCCCTTAAAGGAGCTTTTATTTTTATTTGGGGTTTGTAAAAAGTGCTTAGTAATCTTTTTGAAAGAGATTTTCTTTGCCGTGTGGATTGCGTGTCGTTCTAACTTAAAAAATTGATTTTCATAATTTTCTCTGCAATATTTATCAGAAACTATTTTTTTCTTTTAATCATGATTATGTAAGGTTTTTTAAAATGTTTTTTAATTTTATTGATTTCATGTTTATAAATTGCGAACTTTAAACGAAAGAAAAAATAATTTTTATTACTGCTTAGATCAGGGGTCGCCAAACTTTTTTGATCATCGACCCCTACATAATTTTTCGAAATCTCCATCGACCCCCATAAAAGTAATTTTCTGTTAATTAAAATAAAACTCTATTAGATACTGTGTTTGCACATTTATTTTATGATTTTAAACATTTATTAAAGTAATAGTACATTGTGTAACAATAGTTTTATGAAAAATATATTAATATTGAAATTTAAATACCTTATTATTAAATAATAAGTAATTATGCATAAGTAGATATAATAAGTAACTAAAGGTTTACTGCTTCTTGATCAATAAGATGGGTGTGCCTGGTGCTTTTTTGCAAGGTTCGCTATATTGGGCTTAAAATTGGTCAATTTTAATTTTCCTCAAAATTGGTCAATTTTGTAATCTTCGTAAAAAAATACAAAGTGTGCTATAGTTTTGTCGCGGGCTGTACTAATCCATATTATTAATGCTTACCTTCTTTTTTGTGCATTGATAATTAAAATTGATATCTAAACTAAACGAATGGTTTTATCGAAACAATAACTAATTTTCCAAAACTATAAAAGTTTTAATAATGACACTGCAAATATTCAACACAGTTTGCAAAGATAGCTGAAAGTGCGTATGATATTTGCATTTGTAACGTCAATGCTCGTCACACGTGACAAGTGCACATATGGATATGACTTATAAACTGCGCTGAGTTTGTGCCACTGCGCGTTGGTACGTAAATACTTGTTTCACCCCAGTAAATATACGTTTATTAATTCTTGTTTTATAAAGAAACTGATATTGAGTCAATTATAAAAAAAAATCTCAAATTTTACATACTTAATTAGGTATGTGTGATTTGCGTATTGAGAAATGTTTTTTTCCCCGACCCTTCTGATTCGGATCGACCCCCATTCGCCCTCCTGTCTCAGATCGACCCCCGCTTTTGTTAAATAGACCCCTGGGGCTCTATATAGACCACTTTGGCGACATCTAGCTTAGATCCTCATTATGATTTTTTTGGAAAGTGATTAAAAATATTTTTTGCATGTTTAAAAGGTGCTTATTTTATGTTGAAAAATGTGGTTATGCACCCTGTGATAGTATTTTACTATTTGATTGGAGTGAGCAAATCCATTTAGTAACATTGATTGATTAGCAACATCATTGATTAATCCATTGAGCACTGAAGTTCAGCTGTTCATAAATGTCTGCTACTTGCGTTCCACACATTATATTGTAGATTTTACATTTTTATGAGAAGAACTTCATTATTTTGGTACAATTATTTTAAAAGTATAAACAACTGAAGTATTTCTTTCAATTCCTACTATTAGTTTCACACTCTCGCTGTATTTTGTTCAAATAAATTATTTTAAAAATTGCATACTCAAGTTAATACAGTTTCTTCGAAATAATAATTTATTCATTAAAAAGGGATGAGTGAAAAACGAATTGGAATTTTCTGATGGGTTAAGTATTAGTCATTGTTTTAAATTTTACTATAAGCCACACTTATTTTAAAAATAGCGTCAGTGAAAATTTGTCAATTTTACTATAAGCCACACTTATTTTAAAAATAACGTCAGTGAAAATTTGTAACTTATTATGACGTGATCATAATAACATCAGTGATAATTGTTAACTATTTGAACAAAAAAAAATAGTTTATTGCTCACATTTAAATATTTAATTATTTTATATTTGCTGTGTCAGATAAATTAAATGAAGAACATTACGTGGTTGCACGTATGGTCCACGCCACCCAATTTATACTTTTATAGTTGTCTGATACCACGTGCCCTTCTTCAATTCCTATAATTAGTTCACACTCTTCCTATTATCTTGTTCAAATGTTCAATCGTTAAATAAAATACTTTTTATTCAGCCACTCAAGTTCAAATACATTTTTTAAAACTTGTAGTGGTCTAACTTGATTTGATGTTAATACAGTTTTTTAAAAATATTAATTCATTCATTAAATTTAATGTATTAATTTTAGTTTTATATGGGAGAAAATATTGTAATTATTTAATAAAAAGTAACTAAAATAAAAGTTTTCTTTGTACACCTCAGTAGGAATTGACTTTTAATTTTTTTATATTGTTTTGTTTCTTTCTTCATTACCTTAAGCTTTTACGTTATTGCAAAACATTGAATTTTATTGATGTTAATATTTTTGTTTGTTTGCAGAACGAGGTGTAGTTTGGGAAGAAACAATTATATTATTACCTGACAGTGTTCATTATGTGTTTCTCTCTGCTACAATTCCCAATGCAAGGCAGTTTGCTGAATGGATTTGCTATTTGCATCATCAGGTGTTTATATCATTGCTCTTTAAAATATCATGTTTCTAAAATGTTCCTGTAATATTTTAGTTTTCTTAAGTTAAATTGTAGAACATTCTAAACAAGAGAACAATGTAAATATTTATTACAAATTACAATTGTAATGAAATGGGCTTTTAGCTGTCAAAGTGAATGCATGATGCTTATCATTTTTAAAAGGTGCTTAAAGGCGATTATTTTCGATTTTCATTTTTAAAAGACATTAAAAAGGCTTTTTTTCATGGGTTGTTTTTAAAAAGAACTTAATTTTCCTTTTTCGAAAATAAGAATTTTTTTCTTTACTATGTGGATTTTCGTCACGTATTATGCAAAAGCATGGTTTTCACATTGTTCTATTCAACGTTTTCACAATTCATTTAACCACAATCTATTTTGGCTTATGAAAACTCCAATCATTTTACATGTTTGATGAAATACTTGCAAGTCCGCATGTGCCTCATCTGAGCTGGGTTTAGGGACTTTATTGCACTCTCATGTGCAACTTTGCTGCATTTTGCAAGATATTCTCAATTTCAGACTTCAATTTCCCCCCTCTGATATCGAACAAAAAAATCTTTTGATCATTTTATTACGGCTAATATAATCAAGAAAAAGAGTTCTTTGTCAGAAACTAGTTATTTTATCATGATCATGTAATGTCTCTGAAAATTATTTTGCATTTTATTCATGTATATAGTGCTTAATAATATTTTTTGAGTTCTTAAAAAGTACTTTGATAGTGCTTGTATTTTGCTGAGAGATTTGGCTAGGCACCTTGGAATGTAATGAATACAATAAAATCAGGAAGAACGAAACACCTATCTTTCTATTTATCTTGGTAAAGTTTCCAGAGAAGCAAAAATATTTTTTACAGAAAATGATCTTACTGCCGCAACATATTTTTTAAAAGTTTGGAAACCATTAATTTTCAAACTTTTATTTTGAATTTTAATGGTGCTACTCTTTGACTTTATCTCAATAACAGGGTTCCCACGGTCCTTAAGGGGACACTTCACGATGGAAAACCCAAAAATCGACCAAATTATACTTTTTTCAATTTTTGTTTCAAAAAATAATACTTATATCTAGCTACAATTTAAAAGAAAAATTTTTCAATTTCATTCATTTTTTGCAAAGTTATAAGCATTTCAAGATTTGTAAACAAGGTTATGTAAACTGTCTGTTTTTATAGTTAAACTGTTTTTTCTCAATGTTGTTTTTTACGATAATATTCAAACTTCGAAAAGTTCCTTGCGCATGAGTTTTGAATAAATCTTTATTTTTTTCTCATATATATGATTGGTCTAATGTTCCGTAACCAATGTGATATAAATAAAAGCTGAATACTCACTGAATATTTTTTAAATTACTTTAAATTGTTATTTAAATTTCAATTTTTAAAAATTATATAAAGACTATGATATTTTGATTTTTTATTTGTTTAAAATTAAGTGCTAAGTTGTTCAAACATATCCAATTTTATTTATACTTATTCAAACTGTAATATAAATGAGTTTCATACAGCTACGATAAAAACTCATGCGCAGGAAACATTTTGAAATATTGGAACATTTAGTAATTTAACTTGCGGATAAATTATTAAAAAAATTATAACTTTTCAACAAATTAATATTTTTGCTTCAAATTTTGGGAATATCTTTCTAAATGCTTTATTCACAATCTATGAAATTTTCATTAAAATTGGTTGATATTTAAAAAAAATCATTTTGAACCTGAAGTGTCCCCTTAAAAGGCCTTAAAAACTGCTTAATTTTTATTTTGTAAAATAAGGGTCCTTAAACTTAACTTTGGTTCAAGGTTTTTAAAAGTCCGTAATTTTTTAGCCTCTCTATGGTTGAGAGAAACAATTATTCAGTTAAATTTTTTAAAACAGAATCTTGTTCTTTTATTACTTAGAATTAGACCATGCATCGAAGGTAAAGCATTTTGGATAGACAAAAATTAATTTGTGTGTGTGTCTGGGGGGGNNNGGGGGGGGGGGGCTAACTACAGACAAGGGGAAGAAAATTGCGTCCTTGCATTAATATATTGGTTCTTTCATTAATATATTCTGCCTTTTGCCTAAAATGATACTCTATAAGGAGAGTGAAGCATTCTAAAAGAAAAGAATAGTGTGGACAAGGGAATACTGCACATTGAAAAGAGAGTGCTTTTTTTTTTTGAGATAGTGCTTTTTAATGATCATTTTATTCAGTCAATATTGCAACTTAATATACCGTTTTTAATTTTTGGTTGCTTTAAAATTAGTTAATGTTTTTCGCCCGAATGTTTAGTCACATTGGTAAAGTTAATTTATAAGTAACAGGTTTGACTGAAAATATATTTTTGTTACAGTTCATCATAGAATTAAATATAACACATTTGCGGGTCTGGTAGCGAAATATCAAAACTTGTTGAAATAATTTTTTCAATGTTTTTGCCAAAATTCTTTATTCACTCTGTTTTTTTTAAAAAAAATATGCATGGAAAAAGTGCAAATCTTAATATCTGCACTTAATTTTACAATTCAATTTCAATGAGATCATTAAAAATAGAATGCAGATTAGTTACATGCGGTAACTTTTACAATCTGAATGACGTTAACTTTTCACAATAGGAATTTTTTTTTAAAAAACCTGACCCGGGTTTGCAAAAATTGCCTGGTACTTCTCTGGCCAGCCTTGTTAATTAATGCAATTATATCAGTGTTTACGTTATAATAACAAATTATTATTATTATTTTTTCTGTTGATGTTTTTTAGTAAGGTAAATAATTTGCACTGTCACTGTATGTCATGTGTATATTCGATGATAAACAATCATACTATTTTAAAAGTCCTTAACTTTTACTTAAAAGTACTTAATTTTCTCAAAAAAAAGTCCTTAAAAGTGCTTAATTTTATTGTTGAAAGATTGGAAACCCTGAATAAGTGTGACTTAAGTTCGTTGTCATCTCTGCTTCGCTATTTGTGCTACTGATGAAAGACACAGAAACTTTCTGGTAGATGCTTCAAGAATATACTTTTGTGACACAAAAACACGTTTAGGTTTTAAAATAAATTAGCTATTTGAAATTTCCCCTTGGCAGAATTGCAGCCACACGGCACCATTGTCACAGAACCAGAGTTGGCAAGATTTAGGACAGAATGGATTAATCCACGATTGAAACCAGTGTTTAAACCGTCCTGTCCAAAACCCCCTTGTCTTAAACTGTCCAAAACCCTTTTTTTCAAATTATGTCACAATTTAAAAAAAAATATTGGAAAAAATAAAGGGTTAATTTTTGAATAAGAGACAGACAAGTTTTTGTTTTATTTAAAAAGTTTATTATTATTTTTAATATTACATTAATTTATTTTTATGCAAGAACGTAATTTTGCAGTATTAAAAACATATTTATGGGATAAGATATTCATTTTTGTTGTTCAATGAATTATGGAGCTTCAAAAGTTATAAATCTTTTCTTATATAAAATACATTATTTTCCTTTAACAAGTTAAAGTAAATTGTATAAAAAGTATGAAATATTTATGATATATGTTATTATTATATGTACAATGGTTGCACAAATAGAATTTTTTCCTTTTACCAATGTTCAAAGTTTTGGACAGTTTAAGACAGTAAAACCCACATGTCATGTCCAAAACCCCATTCCTGTGCAAATCGATTTATTTTTTGAAAAGTAAAAATTTTTTCTTTTCTTTTCTACGGAAATTTACAACCTGATCTTCAAAAAATTACCTAATTTGCGTAATGTTTGAATCATGCATTTAGATAATTACTTTTGAGCGCACTCATTTTATACCAATAGTATCATAAATCGATGTAATGCAGGGTGGCCACCCACCTGGAAAACCTGGAATTATCAGGGAATTTTTTTTATACTGGAAAAAACCTGGAAAAATCAGGGAAATATGGATAAAAACCTGGAAAACCTGGAAATTTTAAAGAAAGGCTGGAAATTTTTTCCTATATATTTTTTTAATTTCACTAAATTAAATTATTTGCTAATTTTCTTAATTTAAATTGTTTCATCCATTAAACCCACATTTTTTAGACGGAAATGTATCTCCAAATAGTTAAAATATCATCAACTTACTTTGCTTTCATCAAAATTTGCTCCATTATAACCCTGTTAAACTAGAATACAACATAAAATTCTCCCATGGTTGCTAAGCAAATGTAGAAACCTTTGATCTCTATGCAGACTATGGGACTGTGCAATTT